CTGCAGAGCAAGTGATGCAATGCTACATCTCTCCAAACAAACTCACCTACATCTCGAATGCGCTGAGGGTGAGTAAAATCAGCACATTTTAATTTCTGGCTGAACTGTTGAGATGTTCCTCAGTTTGAACGTCAAAAGCGTCTGTTAAATGCATGAATGTAATTGTAAGTGCGTTCATGAGACCTCAGTTTGGGCCACTTGTACACTCCGCTGGTCATGGTAAACGCCCCGATCTCCAGCTGCTGGATGTGCATGGCCAAGATGTGAGCGTCTGGGAGAGTCGGCCGCCGTCTGCTCTTCTCTCCCTCCATCAGACACAGATTATCACTCTTCAGAAACACCTGAAACAAGATCATCAACAGACTTTAGAACCTCACTCCTCTCTCTTCTATGGGATCAATTCCTGACGCTCAAACAGCAGAGCATGCGCTCGCAACACTAGTGTCCCGGGTTTGATTCTTAGAGAATGCATGAACTGATAACATGTAAACTTTGAATGCAATGTAAGTCGCTTTGGATAAAAGCATCTAAAAAAATGCAGAAATGTAAATGCATTAATGTATTTAATTATTCAAAACAACACCAGAAATACAACTCACACAAACAGTGACTTCAGTACACCTCTACACAGTGATGAGCATGTTTTCAGAAGCTATTTTAAAATTCATTTAGTTATTTAATAATGTGTAGGACATAATCAAAAATGTTTGGGTGGCGTAACTGTCTGGAGATTATGTAAAAAAAAAAAAAAAAAAAAAGCTATGACACAGTTTTGTTATTATTAATATATAATAATAATAATAATAATAATAATAAAAGAAGCAATTAAGTTTTAATTAGTTTAAAATAATTTAAACTAATTAAAACAAATAGCTGTGAAACTGTTTTGTTATTAATATTATTAACATTATAGATATATAATATAATAATATAACATTATTGTTATTATTATTAATAATAAAAACAACAATAATATTCAAAACTATTAAGGATTTGTTTAAAACAATTAAAACAAATTATTAAAATAATTAAAATTAATAGCTGTGAAGCAGTATTATTAATGTTATATAATATAATAATAATAAAAGTAACAATTAAGAATTAATTCAAAACAATAAAAACTAATCAAGTAATTAAAACAAATACCTGTGAAGCAGTTTTGTAATTAATATTATTATTGTTATAAATATTATATAATACAATGCAATTATTATAATATAATACTATACTATTTAAATATTATTACTAATATAATTAGGCTACATTAGAAACAATAAAAAAATTATTAAAATAATAAAAAATGCAGTGAAGCAGTTTTGTTATTAATATTATAATTGTTACAGATAATATATAATATAATGATATATTTTTATTATTTTTATTATTAAAAACATTGAAAACAATTAATGAGCTGAAAACAATTAAAACAAATTATTAAAATAGCTTACAAATATTGAAAACAATTAATTAGCTGAAAACAATAAAAACAAATTATTAAAATAAATAGCAGTTTTATTATTAATATTATTAATGATATAGATATTACATAATGCAATAATACTATTTTTTTATTATTATTAATATTATAAATGTAATAACATTAGAAAGCATTAAGAATTAGCTTAAAACAACTAAATCAAATTATTAAAATAAATAGCAGTTTTATTATTAATATTATTAATGATATTGATATTACATAATGCAATAATACTATTGTTTTTATTATTATTAATATTATAAATGTAATATTAAAACAAATTATTGAAATAATTAAAATCTCCCAAGTTCTTAATATTCTTAATGTTACAGATAATATATAATATAATGATATATTTGTATTATTATTTTTATTATTAAAAACAATGAAAACAATTAATTAGCTGAAAACAAATTATTAAAATAAATAGCAGTTTTATTATTAATATTATTAATGATATAGATATTACATAATGCAATAATACTATTTTTTTTATTATTATTAATATTATAAATGTAATAACATTAGAAAGCATTAAGAATTAGCTTAAAACAACTAAATCAAATTATTAAAATAAATAGCAGTTTTATTATTAATATTATTAATGATATTGATATTACATAATGCAATAATACTATTGTTTTTATTATTATTAATATTATAAATGTAATATTAAAACAAATTATTGAAATAATTAAAATCTCCCAAGTTCTTAATATTATTAATGTTACAGATAATATATTATATAATGATATATTTGTATTATTATTTTTATTATTACAAATATTGAAAACAATTAATTAGCTGAAAACAATAAAAACAAATTATTAAAATAAATAGCAATTTTATTATTAATATTATTAATGATATAGATATTACATAA